TTTACTTATAACTTACTAGCTTACTAACCTTATTAAATTATACCTTAATAAGATAAAGTATAGTAAAGGGGTATATAAGTTACTTAAATTAAAGCTTATAATCTTTTATAACTACTATATAAAGGCTAGGATTTAGTAAAAGTATTTTATAAGCGCCTTCTTTATTATACTTAAAGGTAAGGCTATAAAGTACTATACTAACTATCTTTATAACTAGACTAACTTTATTACTATAGTTATATAGATAAAGGGTAATTTTAAGAATAAAGAGACTTTTTAGGCCTACCTTACTAAGCTATAAAGGACTAATTTAATAAGGACTATCTTAAATAATCTAGATAAAAGTAAGGCTAAATACCTAGAGTTACTTATTAAGAAAGTAACTACTTTTATAAGAATAGTTATAAGGATTAGTACTTTATCTAACGTAGCCCTCTATAACTAATTACTTAACTCCTGCTATAAGATAAAAAAGTGCTTCCTTACCCTTTTTAATCTATCTTTAACGTTTACTAGCGTATATAGCTAGCTCTAATTAGTAATTAGTAATATAATATAATTTAAATAACCTATATATTAATACCTAACTAAAGAAGTAGATAATTAATACTAGACTAACTATACTTATAATAGCTAGTAAAGTTACTAGTAATTTAGCTAACATAACTATAGCTATAGTAACTTTATACTATAGCGCCCTTTAAATAGTAATTTATAGTAATAAGCACCCCTTTTACCCTTATTATTATTTATAAAGAAGTACTATATATATAGTAAGCCTAACTATTAGTTAATAAGGCACTTAAAAGATAAAAGGTAATAAGCCTACTATAAGTATAAAAAGTAGTATCTAATAGACTTTTTACCTAAAGCCTTTAACTACTTTATAACTAACTTTAAGGGATATAAGCTATTTACTTTAGATAAGGAAAGTAACTATATAAAAAGTAATAAAGATAAAGAATTAGGTACTACGTTTTATATATTAATAATATTCTTTAACTTATTTACTATTAATAGGCCTGCTTTTTTTTTATTACTATATAACTAATTTATAACCTATTTTCTTATAAAGGATAACTCCTTATATAAGAATCTATATAATAATAAGCTACCTAACGTAGACGTCTTTACCCTTAATAAGTAATATTTATTTATCTTATTCTATAGTATTATACCTAACTCTAGTGTAGCTAAATATTTAATAGCTAGATATAAGTAGTATTTTACTTTTTACTACTAAATAAAAGGAAATCTAGCTATAAATAAGTTATAAGTAGGTAAAGTAAAAATCTACTTTAGTAGTAGTAACTACTTTAAATTATAAGAGGTAATTAATATACTAACCCCCTTTAGTATATTAACCTTTTATATAATACTATTAAATACCTTATTTCTACTTTACCTTATAGATATAGATTAGTATAGTATTAAATTTAATAACCTTACTAATAAGCTAATTTAAGGTAACACTATTATACCTATTATTTAGAAATAAGGCTATATATAGATACTACTTAATTAATATAAGTAAAGTATTACTTACTATTATCTTATAGATAATAAGTTATAGTAAATTTATTATTACTTTAGCTACTTATTAGTCTAAAGGCTTTATTACGTCCTCTAATAATCTAGTAATAAAGTTAAGATTATAGCCTTAAAGAAATTAACTAAGGTCTGCTACTACTACTAGATAAATATAAAGGCGCCTAGTTACTTTAAATTTACTTTATATAATAATAAATATAACTTTAACTATAAGATTATTATTAATATTATCTACCTTAATAGTAACTGCCTAGCCTTATATATAGTTAATACTATAATATCCTTTTAAGTAGCCTATTTACTTAAAAACGTTACTATAAAGTATATATAGGAGGCACTTTAGATATACTAAATTAATATCTACTTTAGCCTACCTAACTAGATTATTACTAATACTAGCCTAAACTTTTATACTAGTAAATTTAAGTAGTTAGTAAGGTTACTTTATATTAACGTTAAAGAAATACTAATTAAAGCCTATAATAGTATTAGTAAGGTTAAAAGATACTATACGCCCCTCTAATATATATATAATATCTTTTATAGTAAAGGCTATATACCTAAGGTTACTTTTTAGCTAGCTGTTAAAGTAATTAATAATATAGCTAGCCTAAATAGCCTAGTACTTACGCTATTAGTCTTTAGCGCCTACTTATAAATCTCTAACTTATTACTATTTTTACTAACCTTACTTAAAAAAGCTAAAGTAGTAAGAAAAGTAATAAAGGCTATTTACTAGATCTATATAAAAAAGTAAGTTAATAAGGTAGTAACTATATATAACAGCCTAAATACTACTATAATAGTAGCTTTTTTACTTTAATCTATAGTCTATATCTAGCGTAAGAAAAAAGGCTAGTAAGGCCTTTTTTACCTTATTACTAATAATAAGACTACTTATACTATTAACCTCCCTTAAGGCCTATAAACTTTTTATTTAACTATTATTAAACTATACCTTAAAGATACTTATAATAAGTAATAATAGCTACTTTTTAAGGTAGGTAGGTAAGGTAATAAGGAGAATAATAATAATAGCGTAGTAGCCTTATTACTTACTAATATCCTTACGCCTACTAAAGAAATATATAATAGTATTACTATTACTATATACCTATAGCTAAAGCAAAAAGCTAGCTACTTATAGAGGTATATTAATTTCTTTAATAAAACTAGCTTTACTATTAGGCCTACTACCTTCTTTACTACTATAAGTATAGTATATATCTTAATAAAAGAAGAAGCTAACTAACTATTATTAATTAAGCTATAAAAAAAAGGTATTATTACTACCCTAAGGAAACCCTTTAAGTAAGTAACTACTACTAAGATTAAAGGGCTTATTATTTATAAGGTATTTTACTTTATTTAATATAATAAGAATAAGTATACTAAAATATAAATATTTAAATTATAGATTATTAATAAGGTAAAAGGCTAGAATAAAAAACTATATAAGAAATTCTACTTTATTATCTAAGGATACACTAATAATAGTAAAAAAGTAATTTTTACTTAGTTACTTATAATCTAGTAAGCTAGCTAGTGCCTTATTCTTACTTTTACTTTATTTTTTATTTATAATAATAATAATTTCTTACTTTAGTTATATAATATTACCTAAGTATATATATAGTTAACTACCTTATTAAATTATATAATTCTTATATACCTTTTATTATAAATATAAGACCTCTATCTAAAAGGCACTATTATATAAGTAGTAAAGCTGTTATATAGTATTATAAAGGTAAGCACTTACTAGTAAGTAATATATAGTTACTACTATAAAGAAAAGCTTTAGATAAAGACTTTAACCTTTAATTTATACCTACTAATTACTAATATAAAAAGCTTAGACTTTAGGATTATTAGTATATAGACTAATAATACTATTACCTTTTTAGATAAATCCTTTTCTACCTATAAGGCTAATAAGCTTATTAAGGCTATATTTACTACTAAGGAGAAGTAAATCCTTACTATTAATAACCTACTTACTTTTAATAGTAGTATAGTATCTCTAACTACTAAAGGGAAGATTTTTTTTTAATAAAAAAGCTAAAGTAAAAGACTTTAACCTATTAATAAAGAATCTTTATAAGCACTTAAGTAGTATATTAAATAATAGGCCTATAGTATATATATTACGTTAGTCTATTAGCCTAAAGCATACTTTAACTACTTTATTATAATATAACACTAATTACCTAATATAAATAAGATTAAGGCACTTAACTATTATATTATATAGTAAATAAATAACCTTAACTATAGTCTGTTATTTTACTTACTTAACTTTAAATTTATAAAGCTTTTTATTTTTATAAATAGATTATTTATAAATAATAAGGATTTTACTTTATAGCTAAGATTTATTATTATTCTTACTAATAAGGCACCTATAAGTACTACTATAGGTAATAAATTTACTATAACTAGTAATATTATTTACTTTAGCTTAATAAAGTGTAAGTAAGTTACCTAAAGTATACTAGCCTTTAAGATCTATAGTATAGTTACTAGCGCTAACGTTACTTATACACTTAGTATAACTATTATAATAATTACTAACTACCTTAAGCTACTATATATACTAATAATCCTTTATACTAACTTATACTTATTTTATAAGTGCCTTATTAAGCTTAGGACTATAAAAAAAAAAGGCTTATAATTAATATTATAGCTTTTTAGTAGTTATATAAGTAACATAAGGTTTATAAGGTATAATAAATATAAGGTAATAATAATCTTACTAATAAATTTACTAAATTATTACCTAATAAGGCGCTTATATAACTAGTTAGAAATAAGATAGTTTAGATTAGTATAAAAGGATAAGTTTTTTAAGCTATATAATAGATTATATAAACAAAAAGTATTAAATACTTTTATACTTTTAATTTTTATTACGTTTTTAAGCTTTTTAGCTGCTAGGCAGTATCTAGGCTATTTGTGGCGATTTTCTTTTACTTTAGAAAGTTACTAGTGTTAGGATATTTAACTGTTTAATAGTGGAGCTGATCTATGGTTACGTAATTTACTATCACGTGACTTACCCTGGCGGCTCACTTACACCACCACAAATATCCGCGGCAACAACTTCTTCTTCTTTTTCCTATCATCCATCTCAACAAGCAACTAGTAGTCAATCGAACTATTACTGCTTTACGATCGCGATCCCTGTGATACCAACAATCATGCTCTGACATTTGACTACTTTCGATGGGCCTCACAACCTATGAGGTACACATACTGGTCTATTTGTGAACATGCATTCATCGGTTGCTCCAGAACTGTAATTATTGTCAAGAACGCAAGGCATGGAAGTAGCCAGCTAAGAGAAAAAACAAGCAATACCGACTTTCCGTGGGTTGGATGCAGAGAATAGAATACTAGATTGTTGTACTATACGCGGTTGCTGCAGCTCTTTAGTGTCAAGCTTATCATCTCCATAGTCCAAACATGAAGTCGCACACCGTCAATATGGCCTTGGCATAGCTGCCGTGTGGACCCATGAACATGCCGATGCATGATTCGAAGACGACCATGGCGATGATAGGGTGGAGCCGCGACAGCCATGCGAGCAGCGCGTCAAGGGCCGCCCATTGCGCGAGCGCGCTGTCCTGCTCTTTCTCTGCCTCGATGGTTGCCGGGTCGAGGGTGATAAATCGGTCATTGACGCTCGGTGGTGCCGACGAGACGGTGCCGACGAAGCCAACCAAGACTTGCTCGTTACCGGAATGCAGGGCAAGCCTGGTGGCGAGGTTGCTCAGGGACCGCGCCTTGCTCAGGTAAATTTTGATGCTTGCCAAAATCAAAAAGTTGTTAGCCGGGTTTTGGGAGTTGTACCAAGGCCGTTGAAAGTGACGGTTACTGGTCGTAGCGACGGGGCCGCGGTATCAATCAGATTTGCAGAGGCCTCTGTCATGCCACTGGGTGATCAGGGTCTTCAGCTCCGTCAAACTCCCTTTTGCCAGCAACGGCACCACATGTGACCAGGCTAAGCCTCCAGAGTCCGAAAACAGGCACAAGTGTCGGAGCTTGTCGAATCGGACGACGTGCTCTGGTGACAACAGTGTTACTACATGGCGGCCGAGTCATGCTCGTCCTTCGGTCCCCAAGTGGGCTGTTTCAGTTCTCAAGGGCTGATTGTTTTTCGGCAGATAGCCCTTTGCGACGGATTGGGAAGGAATCCAAGGATGCGATGAAGAGTCCGTCTGCCTTCACTTCAATCACGTAGAGTCTTGAAGATGTGCCTGGCCTGGCTGACAGCCAAGGCGCTAATGGTCTCTTCCATAATCAGCGTCGAAACTCAGTCGGAAGTACGGATAGGGCAGGGCACGCTAAGCTACTAGGTCCTGAATTGCTTCGTTGGCTGGTGTCAAAAAAGAATTGATCCGGGCGCCACGACGTTGGCGCAAGCACAACGGGTGATGTCGTCCGGGGGGCCTCCACTTCCGCTGACCCTGTAAAGCGACTGACCGCGGCGGGTGGATTGGCTCGGAATGCTTCGGTCCACGCGTTTCATCGCCATTCGGGCCGCGCGGGCAGCTTCCGGGACGGCTGAGGCTGCGGGAGCGGTCGATCATCGAGAAGCTGAGTTCGTGGATGCATAGAGGGCGGATTGGACAAGATTTTGCGAGTGACCAGGTACACCTGACCCAACGCCTGGGATTTTCATCCCGTAGTCAAATAACAATTGCGATCAGACAGATAATGTTGCGGGGGATAAAGGCTAGATCGATGGAGATAGGATGGACTCATGGAGAGATGCAAAACCCGGGAACTGATCAGAGCGGGAATAATTACTGGAGATTGGGACTGCCCCGGATGATGGACTGTTGCTCCCTCGGACCCCCAGACCGAAGACGTCATCGCTTGAGCCACCGTTCGCGCTCCTGCATTTCGCTTTGCCCTGTTTGGCAATCCGAATCGCCTGGTGCCGCGGGGTGACTGCAAGTCCTCGTAGGCAGCCAAATGGGGAAGCTTTTCCTCTTCCGTCGGCCTTTGTTGATCTAGGTAGGACAACGGGAATACGATACCAAGACGGAGGGAGAAAATGATTCAAAAAAGGGAAATCCTAGCAATGAAAAATAACATAACCTCGCTACGATTACTAAGAGGGTGGGCGGTCTTTTTGCTGCTCTCGCTGACCTAATCATGGCGTCGTGCCTTGGCAATTGCCAGCCAGGCACAGCTGGACTCGTGGGAAACAAGCTTTGGGATGCCGCCTTTGCCAAGTTCGCTGCCGCTGTACCGCCACTTGGCACAAACTTCAACTCTCCGCCGGCCACTGACAGCGAAATGGGCCGCGAACCGCCTTGTCGTGATCGATCCCGTTCCGTCACTGCTCGCAAGTCTCGGGCGGTTCAATGCGACCAGTCGTGGGTCGGCGACATCTAGCATCTATCTGGCGGCATCCCGACTTTTACTTTGATCGGCATCAACCCAAGTCACTGACCGTGCACGTGAGCATTATCCCCATCCCATCCCACCCCATCCCATGCCATCCCCTGATTTTGACCTCCTCCTCCTCCTCCTCCTCCGGACTCTCTCCGTCGAATTCACCCACTGTGGATCGCCTCACCGACCTGTGACAGTGTAACCGCGGTCTGACGTTGACACTAAGGTACGGTCGCTTGGTCGCACAACTGACGTTGGCACGACCAACGCTACCAGGGTGGATTTTTTTCATCACTTCTCCTCTCTCTCCCTCATTGTCCGCCAAAGGATGCATCTCGAAATGTGGGGCGTTGACTGCGCTAGACGTTGCCTGGTTCCGCGTCACCGGCCGTAGTCAGTGATGTCACGGTGGGCTACCGCACGTTTGGGGTCAGAGACCAGACAACAGCAGCAGACAACTTGGTTCGGTCAATCGTCATGGAGGCCGAGAGCAACGCCCCTCGGCTTCTCCGTCCCAAGTCCCGTTAGGCATTGATATACTCTGAATCTCTCCCAACCACTGTTCAATCTTGGCCGATCCCTTGTTTCCTGAACCATACAGAGTTTTGGTCGTCCGAGGTGGTCTACACGCCTATCCATGCCTCTACCCTTTCTCCGTCTCCTTTCGGTCCTCTTATAAACGGGAAGGACAGCGACAGATCTGTTCTCTTTTCCGTCTCTCTTTCACCATTCCTTCATCACACTCATAGACAGACATTTATGGTATTCGCCCATTATGCCTAATACTCGTTTCGCCGAGGAGCCGCCTCAGGTCATCAACCAGGCCGATCTCGAACTCGCCAACGAGAAGCTCGAATCCCGCGACGAGCCCGCGGCGGATGCTGATGTAAGCAACAGCGAGCATGCCTCTTCCAAAGAACTCGGGCACGGCACCGATCACTCGGAGCACGAAGCCAACAGAATTGCCGGCAACGCCAACGGCAACGGTGCCAAGCTCGAGAAGCTGGGCACCTACGACAAGTACGAGATCACCGAGGACGACTGCTACAACGAGCTGGGATTCGGCTTCCCAAAGTGGAAGAAGTGGTATATCCTCACCGTCATTTTCTGGGTCCAGGTGTCAATGAACTTCAACACCTCGCTCTACTCCAACGCCATCCCCGGCATCTCGGAGGAGTTTAACGTCAGCGCCCAGGCCGGCCGCTGCGGCGCCATGATCTTCCTGGTCCTCTACGCCTTCGGCTGCGAGTTGTGGGCCCCCTGGTCCGAGGAGTTCGGCCGCTGGCCGGTGCTCCAGCTCTCGCTGGCCCTCGTCAACGTCTGGCAGCTACCCGTCGCCCTGGCTCCCAACTTCGCCACAATCATGGTCGGCCGCGCTCTGGGCGGTCTGTCGTCCGCCGGCGGTTCCGTCACCCTCGGTATGATAGCCGACTTGTTCGAGTCCGACGATCAGCAGTACGCCGTCGCCTACGTCGTTTTCTCCTCGGTTGGCGGATCCGTACTCGGCCCCATAGTTGGCGGATTCACCGAGGCTTACTTGAACTGGAGGTATGTGAATACCATCCGCCTCAACAAGAACCAAGCTAACGTGAGTGTAGATGGTCCATCTGGGTCCAGCTCATCTTCGGAGTCGCGGTCCAGGCCCTCCACTTCTTCACCGTCCCCGAGACGCGTACCACAATCATGATGAACCGGATCGCCAAGCGCCGCAGAAAGGAGGGCAACCCCAACATCTGGGGCCCCGACGAACTCGTTCCCTTCAAGGATCGCTTCTCCGTCAAGGAGATCCTGTCCACTTGGGTACGCCCCTTCAAGATGTTCCTCACGGAGCCCATCGTGCTCGTGCTGTCGCTGCTCTCTGGCTTCTCTGACGCCCTCATCTTTATGTTCATTCAATCCTTCGTCCTCGTCTACCAGCAGTGGAACTTCGATACCGTTCAGGTTGGCCTCGCCTTCATCCCCATCGGCATCGGCTACGTCCTCGCCTGGCTTCTCTTCATCCCCGCCATCAGGCGTAACATCAAGGAGCGCGAGGCCAAGCCGAACGACGACAGGGCCCAGTACGAGTCTCGTCTCTGGATCCTCCTCTACACGGCGCCCTGCCTCCCGATCGGTCTGATCGGCTTCGCCTGGACCATCCAGGGCCCGCCCATCCACTGGATCGGCTCCATGGTCTTTGCCGCCATCGTCGGCATCGCCAACTACGCCATCTACATGGCTACAATCGACTACATGCTGTGTGCATACGGCCCTTACTCTGCTTCGGCGACTGGTGGCAACGGCTGGGCGCGCGACTTTCTCGCAGGCGTCCTCACCGTGCCCGCCACGCCCTTCTTCACCAACATCGGCGCCGCCAGCGGCAAGAACCTAGAGTACGCCTGCACGATCCTCTTCTGCATATCCTTCGTTCTCGTTGTTGCGGTTTACGTCATCTATTGGAAGGGCCCCGCCCTGCGCGCTCGCTCGCCGTTCGCGCAGAAGCTTGCGGGCGCGAGAGACGATGTTGGAGGTCGCCGCGTGAGCTACGCTCCTGGAGAGAGACCGGCCAGTACGTCGAACCCGAACGCCGCCTTGACTGACCGATATGCTGACCATGTCCTCTTAGGTGCTGCTTCTGGCGCTGACCAGCCCGCTCGCCCCGGTTACCAGCGTTCGTACAGCCAGCAAAACCGCTTCTTCGGCGAGAACCGCGTCACGCCTCGCGGTACCCCCAGAGGTACTCCATCTGCGAGCAGGGCCAACAGCTTCGTTGGCACGAGGCGCACGGCGGCCAAGTAATGTCTAGTGCTGGTCCAGACCAAGCTCCTGGATTGGGAGCCGCTCTGTCACGGTTTTGTTTTCATCATCCATGATACCCTACACACAGTCGACTTTGTCTAGACGTCCGTAGTCATAATACAGTCATAGTGCGAACATTCTTCTCAGTGAACGCTCATACGGCGTCGTCCTCGTCCAGACTTCCGGCGGCAATGCTGAGAGTCCGCTTGCTGAAAGCGTGCGCCTCGCAATCAATGTGCAGATAGATTATTTGACTCGCAGCGCTCGTTGTGAAAAGCCGTCCCACCCACGTTGTTGGTTGTTGACTACCGAGTCACTGAGGCGGTGCTCTCGATTCCGACAAGGGATTTCCCCCCCCCCCCCCCCGTTAGTTACATGCCGCCTCCGGAACCAGATGCGGTGCCCTGCCGGAGTAGCATCGGCGGCGGGGCTTGAGATGGATGTAACAGGTCCGGAATCCAGGTTCGCATCGTGACTAGGTATCATATGTTACCCGCTTCGTCTCCCCGCCCTTGTATCTGGCAAGAGGACGAAGGGGGGGGACCAGGAAATCGGAATGACTTATGTCCAGGCCCTGTCCCTGCGGGTTGTTGCAAATGTCGTTGATGCGGGCCAATCAGGGGAATGACTAAACGTGTCAAAAAAACCAAAATAATTAATAAAAAAACACTCGCGACCCACTGGGGTAAACCACAGATCGCTGAGGAAGGATACCTCTAGCAGAGTTACTTGACCTACAAGGTACACGCACATCTCCGGATTAACGTTCTTAAGATGTTAAATTACTTGCTTGTACTAGGTAGATGTTTAACAGCAGTCGAGCGTGCCTGTCAATGCTATATGTGTACGTGGAAACCTTGTGGCAGGGTAACATTCAGAAGCCTGGCGGAATCTAGACGCTTCTCTGATATATTTACGGTTCGTTATACGTTTGTATCCGATGAGTATTTATTTTGCCAAGTATCTAGCATGATCCTTACACTGTGTTTATCTGACTGTGTTAAGAGTGTTTATTATCTGTGCGACTCTACGAGGAACCGGCCTGTAAGCAACTGTCGTATCCGATCGGTGTTTCCCTGTTCCAACTGACATGCGTTAATCGGATCGACCAATCTGGTAGGTAGACTTGATAAAGAAAAATTCGGAATAAAACAAAGATGTATAGGCTGCTAAAAGGCTAAATGACTGTACAGTACTGAGTAGGCGAGGCCAACCGCAAAGAAGCCGGACTGGAGTCGGGGGGGGTGGCGGACGAGAGCGCCATACACGCACCAAAAGCTGTCATCAGCATCGACCGTTGTGAAGTCACTCAAGTATGTTCAGTCAGTGCCGCTGTTTTGCTGCGTCATTCAGATTTCCATTCACAACATAGGATTCACAATATATGGAGTACATGAGAGTCCCGGCATTGAATCCACGTGGCCTGCGCATTTGAATCCAGAACAACAACGAGCACGAGTGACCGGTCGATCTGGCACTTGAGTGCTGTATTCCATTGAGTGCCAGTGGGCCTAGCCTCGCCGCAATAAATGGGCGTGATCGACGGTCCACAGCCGATCAAAAGATGACACCTTGAGACCAACCCATGCCTGACCGGCTCTTCCTCCTCCTTGTGTTGTGTCCTGGTTTTCCTTTTTTCTTTTTTTCCTTTTTTTTTCTTCCTCTTCTTTTTCTTTTTTACTTGTGCTCGTCGAACGGAGACATCTCGACCGCATAGGATGTCTCCTTGCGGATGCCACGAATGGGCACGGTGCTCTCCTTGTCCGAAGCAGTATCCTCGTCGAGGCGGGTCCAATCGCCATGTTCTGCGTCGTCCACCTCAAAGTTCGACTTCATGCCCTTGCGGGCCTTGCTCTTGTTCGTTCCTCCCGAGCCGCCGATGGTGACGAGCGCGGCGGACGACGGGGCGAGTCCGCTGGAGCCACTCGTGCCTTTGGTTGCACTTTGGCTCGCGACGTGACGCGTGACGAGTTGGCGCAGGGCGGGAAGCGATCCGGCAACAATGCCAACGGCGGTCTCGACATTGGACCAAAGAGGGATGTTGCCGATGTGGTCTGCGTGCGCCGAGTTGGGTCAGTAGAGGAATCAACGAAACGAATGCTTGGGAGCGGGGGGTCTGAACGTACAGGCAAAGTCGTCCAATGGGCGGTTGTAGTTGTCGATATAGGGAGTGCGGATCATGGTGCAGATGGAAGCACTTTATAGCCATGACAGTCAGCCGATATATCCATCAAGCGGAGGGTGTCGAGACAGTGTCGTAAGACAGACAACACGGGGTATCGTGACTTACAAGGAGCCGAAGGAAAGAATGGTGGACACGACGATCTTGGTCGAGAGCTTCATCTGCGTTTGCCAGAGAATGATGGCTGGGAGAACGGCACACGCGAGGTCCGTGACGATGGTGGCTGCGGTCGACGTGTACGACAACGCTAGCATAGAGGTGACTGAAGAGCACTTGCCACGGCCTTCCGCGATGAGTCTCTGGTTCCAGTTGGCCTCGACTGGGCGGCACAGCAGTAGAACGCCGATGAAAGCTGTCAGGAACGAGGCAACCGTGAGCCCCAGCAGGGCGTAGACAGCAATGCGCAGCCTGGGCATGGTGGTGGCGATCCGTAGCGTAGTGTAACAAATGGATGCCTTGACAGCGCATAACGCCGTGATATACAGAAGCATCCAGATCATCAAGTACTTGACGGATTCAACCATCATCGTCGGGTTGAGGTTTGCATTGCGCGTGCCAAGGCCGCTCTTGGCGCCCAGGCAGGCGAAGACGACATCCACGATGTAGACGACCTAAGGATAGATATCAGTGCTCTGCTCAAGCCCGGTGCATGACTAATGAAATGCAAAAGTGCATGCGTCTCCCGTCTTGGATATCTCTTACCAGACCAAAAAGCATCAGGGCATCATCCTGTTTGAAGTTCCCCGACTTGAGCCGTTGATGTGTTCTCAAGCTCACAACAATCAGCGACATTATGCCACCGACGATGGATACGACAAACAAGCTCAGGCCTGTGCCCTCGAGCGTTGTGAGAAAGCGTTGGTTGGGGTCTATGGTCGACATGTTGCTTGTGCCAGTTGCATGAATTGCTCCGTATGGATGGATTTCTAGATGGGCTCGCCGGGCTCCGCTGGAATATATAAAAGATACCAGCTAAATAAGGGGTAGTGCAAATTTCATAAATGACCGTCGAGAAGAAAAAGTTACAAATAAGGAGAGGGCGACAGTGGTCTAACAACCATGTAGAAACAGATCAACATCAGTCTACGGATACATTCCGTTACATGGCCTGCCCCTACACTACTAATATATTTAAAGAGTGACTAGATTTTTCCTCCTTCACTAGCGAGCTCCTCGCTTGAACCTAGGCATTTTGCGTCAACGAGGTGGCAGCCAACTGCCAAGTAACTGACGTATGACTCGTAGTGGGCAGACAGGCCCGCAGAGACACCAAAGTAGACGCGGCAAGTTCCTCCAGGACTAGAGAATCCCTGAGGGGTCGTGGAAGATTCATTGAACAATCCACTCTCAGTCGCCAGGGGGTCATTGTTTGGCGGGTACAGTGTAGTGTTCTGGGACCCATAAGTGGGTATTGGAGGAGTTGAGGCAATTTGTGGAATACCAACCAACGCGAGGTAGGTTTGACCCATTTCCCCTGGAATTCCACGTATGAGTAATGAGAAAAAGAGCATCATCTTTCCTCATTCTCGTGTGTTTCTTTTTTTTTTATATTTACGGCCAAGCTCAGACGTGGGCCCAGATTCGGTGGGGCGACCGGGGGGTGGGGGGCGCCTGCCGGCGATACAGATCCTACCCAGATCCAGTGTGTGAACGGTTCAGTCGACGCCAGGGTGGGAAAAGTTTTTGTTCCAACAGAGAGAAAAGACGATTGATTCCCCCTTGGGAAGTACTCGACATGGGGGCTGGCCTGGCTTCACATCCCGGAAGCACCCTCATGATTGGCTTGGCCCCCTCGTCGGAAACCTAGAAATGGAGACAACAGGGCCTGGGTTATCAAGCCCTTTCTTTTCCTTAATAACAGCGTGCCCCGGACCCCATGGGATAACGTCGAAGTTAATCTTTGCAATGCTGATCTGATCTAGTGTTGCTTCAAAGACTAAGCGGCATTTTCCACACCATATACACCCTTTTTTGCGTTACGTTGTATCGTCAAATCACACATCATGACTGCTATTACCGTTCCCATCACGCAAGCCCCCCCGTACAGGGTTCACGAGGGCAAGACAGCCGTCGTCACAGGCGGCGCTAGAAGTACGGTTGCTTTCAACTAATCCTGGTCGCAGCACGAGCAGCATGCTGACAAAACCATCCAGGCATCGGAGCTTCTATTGCCCAGAACCTCGCCTCCAAGGGCGCCAACGTTGTCCTCATCTACCTGACCGAGGCCTCTGACGCGCCCGCCGCCGCTCTTGCCGCCGAGCTGTCCAAGGCACACAATGTCAAGGCAGTTCCCCTGCGTGCCGACTTCACCACCCCCGAGGGCTGCGCCAAGGTTGTCTCGGCGGTGAAGAACGACATGCCGCCCAACGCCAAGACGGGGAAGCCTCAGGTCGATATCCTCGTCAACTGCGCGGCTCTCTTCCACGCCATGCCCCTCGAGGCCGTCAACGTTGAGGACTTCCACAAGGTCTACTCCACCAACGTCCTTGGTCCTATTCTCATCACCCAGGCTGTCAAGCCGCTTCTGCCCACCGACCGCTCCGGCCGCATCGTCAACATCTCGAGCGTCGGCTCCAAGGTCGGCCTTGAGTACCTGACGCTTTACGGCGGCAGCAAGGGCGCGCTCGAGGCCATGACTCGCACTTGGGCCCGCGAGCTCAAGGAGAACTGCACCGTCAACGCCTGCAACCCCAGCTCCACCATGACGGACATGCTCCGCGCCGCCCCCGAGGAGGCCAAGCAGGCCATCTCGAGCTGGTACCCTCTGACACCGCTGTGCGGCATCCGCGAGTGGGACACGGAGGAGCAGAAGGAGATGGCTTCCAAGTACGGCGGCCGTGCGGGATACGCCGAGGAAATCGCTGGAATTGTCGGCATGATCTGCTCGCCCGAGAGCGGGTGGATGACCGGATGCCTGGTCAGTGCCAACGGAGGACAATGGATGGCCAGTTAAAAAAACAAAAACAAAAACAAAAAAAACATATACTCATCGATGCTACGTAACGCAAATTCACGACTCATTGAACTTACATAGAAACTACAATCGACGGAACGATCGCCAGCTTCCTTGCGTGAATCTGATATTGCTTGTGCACACCTAATCCCGGGAAGGATGACGCCAATGACCTTGCGGCCATCCACCCGGGGTCTCTGCCGGCTCTGGAAATACTACCTACCGTCAAAGGCATCGTGCGAGCGATGGCACCCATTGGACGGTTGGGGGGGGGGGGGGGGGTCCCAAGAGCATTAGTGTAAACGCCACCACTACCGGGGATGCGGTAGTGAAAGGTAGGAGCCGGTGGCGCCCAACGGCCACTGTCTGTGCACGACCTCGATGCAATACCCCGCAATGTCTGTTCATGTTCGCACGACCTGAGAAGCGAATGGTCGATGATCTATCTGGCCAAGACAGCTACGTACAAGGGGGAGAACGGGGGGGGGCGTTTAGGTCGCTTCTTCTTCGAAAAGAGAAATGGGCTAGCGCGAGCTGACTTCGTACTCGCTTGTATTGATGCCCAGTGTTTCGGCGCCAGACGCGAGATAACGTTACAGGGATGATCCAGTGGAGTCGGCCAAATTCTATTCGCACGGATTACGCCGGGAGGTGGAGGGAGCAAGGATCAAGACGGCACATTAAGACGGCAGCTCGAGACGAGTTGACTACTCCGCACATAGTAATAGTAGGTAGTCATGGATGGTCGGCGGAGTGTAGCATTGGCGAAAGTTTTGGCAGGTCGCTCCGACTTCCTGGGTTTCGATGAGCTGGAGCCCCAGTGCTGGAGCTACGTATCATCTCTCGCATTGTGTGTTTATTGAGATGGAGGCACGATGCTTATCAAGGCCGCAAACTTCATGCGTACGATGCACAGCGTACGTACTAGGGGGGGGCTCCACCTTTGTTAATGGAGATATCCGCACAAAAGAGGCTAGAACAGGTCTGTGGGGGTCCGGATGAAAGTTGAGCCTCCAATGGCCGTTGGAACCCATGTATTGGCGTTGGTAGAGATCGCCGCGGAGGCTCATCTCCCGTGTCGTGTGCTCAGAAGCGTTGGAGCACAACTTATTCGGAACGCGAATGCCGGTTTGAGTGGTGACCCTTAGAGGAGCCTGGCTAGTCGGTATCTAGCGAACCCCAACTAGGCAATGACGTACGGTTTCGGTATTGGGGGTCATTTCGCGCCTTTTGCTCATTTCGGGTCCGTTGTCTCGCTTAACAGGCCGGGCCTAGTCTTTCCGTTCATGGGTGCTGCATGGCCAGCTGATTATTGATACACGGGGTTGCCGCCAAGTTTTGACTTGTCATTAGTAACTGTTGGTCCAACGGTTGGTCCAACGGTTTTTGCATGTTTGTGAATAGTTGACTCACATCTCGCACGACTACTCACTTCACATATTCTTCCTAGCCATAGAAAGTAAGGCTTGAGACTTCGAATCTTACTGAACTCCCAGGTTAATCGAGGGGGGCGGGGGTCAGGTCACTGACAATTTGTCAGATCACTCATCATACTGTACTATTTGACCAACAAGCGTGTTTCATATAATATCCGTACTGCGTATCAGTACCAGGTTTTTACGTGCCGCAATATTATATGCTCCGGGCAAACTACACTAGACCGCTTATAGGGGTGTACTCCGTAAAGCGACTACATCCATCCATGCTATACTGAGCACCAACGGGATTGGTTTAGCAATCTGAGATTGCGGTGACAACCATATATCGTTTTTTTAACCCTTCTATACCTTCATAAGCGGTCTACAAATAGCCCAGTTCACTCAGTACAGGAATATAACTGATACGTCGCACCTCTGACCCCTGCCACATTTCGATATCTCAATACGGTACAAAACACCCAATAAGGTAGAGCAGCTGCTGAGTCGAACTTCGCTTCAACTGTGGCCGGCGGCGACGTCAGCCACTACAGGTCGTTGCTAGGTTGTGGCTTGACGTATGATAATGGTTCGGAAGTCCTGTTCGCTGGCGTACTGGCAGAAGCTACAAAACCACGATAAGAGACCTCGGGTACCATGCTTAATTATTAAGTAACAACTCATCCATGTACTGAGAAGAGAGAGTAGAAAAGACGGCCAGTACATTATTTAAGGAGTTTTTCTGAAACCCATATGAGGCTTACTGTCGTGATGCCAGGCATCCCACAGAGAAATAGGCCAGCCGGAGGCCACGTGACATGCCTCAGCAGCTCTGCCCCTATACTAACTGTCACACAAAAACGACGCCGTTAGATACACCAGCGATTAACGCCTTATATCACCACGTGATGCATCCCACTAGATCGTAGAAATCCTGTTCATATAGTCAAGATTCAATTGGATTAAGCTTATAGGGGGCTTATTTCCCCCTAGATTTGTACTATCTATTAATGTCACAGGACAAGTGTCCCGAAACAGTAAATAGTCATGGGCAGTGATCACATACCCAGTGAGCACGTGAGTATTCACGTGCCTACACAGTATATAGATCACCGCCGTGAGACCCTCCATTCAGATAGAGGGCTGACCATGAATACTACTACTTCTTAGTCACCTATCTTGCCCTGTGTCACTTAACGATATTATAGTGTATTCACATCACACTATCGCAGCCTAGCTACTCCTGTTAGATCCGTAACGGCTGCTAGGAAGGCTGTGTCAGCTAAGTGTTGCGGGTCTACAGCACTTTCAGTCCAGATAACTAAGCTTCAGGAGGCCTATAGGATATCTATAGTATTTTTCAGCTGGGACTCAAACCGATATAGTCTATAATACTTGCACGCTAACTCCACACCTAATTATTGTAATATAATACAGAGCAAGCTGGGCTTGTAACTGTTATATAAAAAGAATATTGTTAATTGCAGGCAGCAATCAACGATTTATATTACCTCTCGACTCTAACAGAGCTGGAAACGATAACTTCTCTTCTTATTCATCAACCCGTAGCCATCCAGGTTGACTACTGTCTAACCCACCCGTACGGATACCCCTGTGATAAAACAGTCACCCCTACAACGCAAGCAGTGTTCCCAAATGTCCTTGACTCCAAGAGCAGGCCAAATCATGATCTTTATAGCATACTGTTGGTATCACAGGGATCGCAATCAAGGTAGCCACAATAGTATTAATTGACTATTAGTAGCTAGGTGAAGATGTTAATGAGGGAAAGAGAAGAGGTTGCTGCTGTAGGTATTCGTGGTGGTATAAGTGAGCCGCCAGGGTGAGTCACGTGATAGTAAATCACGTGACTATAGATTAGCTCTACTATTAAACAGTTAAATATCCTAACACTAGTAACTTTCTAAAGTAAAAGAAAATTATTATAAATAGCCTAAATACTGCCTAGCAGCTAAAAAGCTTAAAAACGTAATAAAAATTAAAAGCCTAAAAGTATTTAATACTTTTTATCTATATAATCTATTATATAGCTTAAAAAACTTATCTTTTTATATTAATTTAAACTATTTTATTTCTAACTAGTTATTTTAGTGCCTTATTAAGTAATAATTTAGTAAATCTATTAGTAAGATTATTATTACTTTATATTTATTATACCTTATAGACTTTATATTACTTATATAACTACTAAAGGGCTATAATATTAATTATAAGCTTTTTTTTTTATAGTCTTAAGCTTAATAAGGTACTTATAAAGTAAGTATAAGTTAGTATAAAGGATTATTAGTATATATAGTAACTTAAGGTAGTTAGTAATTATTATAATAGTTATACTAAGTGTATAAGTAATATTAGTACTAGTAACTATACTATAGATCTTAAAGGCTAGTATACTTTAAGTAACTTACTTATACTTTATTAAGCTAAAGTAAATAATATTACTAGTTATAGTAAATTTATTACTTATAGTAGTACTTATAAGTACCTTATTAGTAAAAATAATAATAAATCTTAGCTATAAAGTAAAATCCTTATTATTTATAAATAATCTATTTATAAAAATAAAAAGCTTTATAGATTTAAAGTTAAGTAAGTAAAATAACAGACTATAGTTAAGGTTATTTATTTACTATATAATATAATAGTTAAGTGCCTTAATCTTATTTATATTAGGTAATTAGTGTTATATTATAATAAAGTAGTTAAAGCACGCTTTAGGCTAGTAAACTAATATAATATATATACTATAGGCCTATTACTTAATATACTACTTAAGTGCTTATAAAGATTCTTTATTAATAAGTTAAAGTCTCTTACCTTAGCCCTTTTATTAAAAAAAAAGCTTCCCTTTAGTAGTTAGAGATACTACACTACTATTAAAGGTAAGTAAGTTATTAACAGTAAGGATTTACTTTTCTTTAGTAGTAAATATAGCCTTAGTAAGCTTATTAGCCTTATAGGTAAAAAAAGATTTATTTAAAAAGGTAATAGTATTATTAGTTTATATACTAATAATCCTAAAGTCTAGGCTTTTTATATTAGTAATTAGTAGGTATAAATTAAAAGTTAAAGTCTTTATCTAAAGCTTTTCTTTATAGTAGTAACTATATATTACTTACTAGTAAGTGCTTACCTTTATAATACTATATAATAGCTTTACTACTTATATAATAGTACCTTTTAAATAAAGGTCTTATATCTATAATAAAAAGTATATAAGAATTATATAATTTAATAAGGTAGTTAACTATATATACACCTAGGTAATATTATATAACTAAAGTAAGAAATTATTATTATTATAGATAAGGAATAAAGTAAAAGTAAAAATAAGGCGCTAGCTAGCTTACTAGATTATAAGTAACTAAATAAGAATTACTTTTTTACTATTATTAGTATATCTTTAGATAATAAAGTAGGATTTTTTATATAGTTTTTTATTTTAGCCTTTTACCTTATTAATAATTTATAATTTAAATATTTATATTTTAGTATATTTATTTTTATTATATTAAATAAAGTAAAATACCCTATAGGTAATAAGCCTTTTAATCTTAGTAGTAG